GGTCAATATTTAGCCGAGATACAACTATTTGAAAATCTGGAATCTGAGGGTGCAAAAAAATCAAAGTATTGAGAAAATTGCCTTTAAAGTTGTCCAAATAAAGTACTTAGCAATGCATATTACTAATCAAAAATAAAGTTTTGATTTATTTATGGTAATAAATTTACAAAATATCTTCATGGAACATGATCTTTACTAAATAGCCTAATAATATGTTTTTATTGAACATTGATGGAGCAACAGATTGTGTGTATAAATAATAATAATAATAATAATAATCTTATAAATAAAGGAGGTGGCAAGGTGGGCCTCACCAGCATGGGGCAAAAGGCACAAGGTATTTATAGAGCATATATGTTTTAAATAATATCTAAGTTAATACTTGTTCAAAACAATTACATCATGCAAATATGAAAAAAATATTTAGGAGCACCATTGCGACCAGATCAGCATATTTGTGTGTGCAATCAGAGGAGCTTCAAAGGTTTCTACTTATAATGTGTTTTCGCAGTGTTAATCAGAATGCACTCACTGCTCAAAAGAGTGGAGTTTTGTTCAGTGCCGAGCTCACGAATCCTCTCATTATAGCAAACAAAGTTTAGACACGATGTAAATAAGAGATTCATTGCGCAGTGAGCTTCGTAGACTACAAAGGAACTTTGTGAGATCACGATGAACTGAGGTGAGTGACAGCTTTTAAGGATTATTAAGGTTTGTGATGCTGATTTAATACAGCAGTCCAAAAAAAAAAGAAGTTCAATAAACAAGAAGCACTTGCTTCGTTCCTGCATGAATCAGCTTTTTGAACGAATCAATTGAATGAATGATTCAGTGCTAAAATCAGTGACTTGCCGACACCTACTGGCAGTTTTATTTTTATTTTTTAAAGTATAATTTCAGATATTTAAATCATTGAATATTTGTATATTCAGAATTTTATATTTAACACTCATGCCACCTCTGAGCCTAATTAAACTTCTGTAAATATACCTGCATGCCATTTTGTGTTCTTCTGTGCCACCTATGTAGTGCAAATGAAATTTGTTCATACTGATTACCAATTTGTATTTGATTGGTAACTTATTATTCTTATAATGTTTTCTTAATATGTTTTAATTGGAAATTTAGAAAAAAAAAAAAAAAAGCTTATAAATATAAATGTTTGAATTTGATGTAAAAGATGTCATACTTTTACAAAAAGTAAAAAAAATAAATAAATAATAATAATAATAATGCCACTACAAAGGTTTTAAAACCACTTAAGCTCAGGGCGTTTTTTGGTATTTTCGCCTAAATTTGACATACTCAAATTCAAATGTTTACCCTACACACATACAATGGAGGAAATGAAAAAAAATTGTTTCAATGTAAAGAAAACCCTTTGAACTACAAAATTTGAGTGTAATTCTTTATAAATAACATTATATATTTTTCAAATATTACAATAAACACAAACAAACATAGGCGCTTTTGGAGTTTTAAAACAAATTATTTTTTGGAAATTCTGTAATTCAGCTTCTATTAGGTCCAGCTCTCTGCAATTTACTTTGTTTGGAAGCTTAATTTTACTGCTTTATGAATATAAAAATCAAAAGGAATGGTATTCTTTGTAAAGCAGACACTCCAAGCTTTCAAATGAACCCATATGGCTGATACCATATAAGGAAGGCATAATGTAAATGAAGCATAAACATTTTTAACGCGATTTTGGCAGAGTTTAACTGGTTTTAAAAAGCCCTAGTAAATCACTTTAAGGAGTCAAATATCACCTCGTAATTGTAAGGCAAATTTTCCAGAAGGTACTCTTAAATTTTGTATTGTGAAAATATGCGTAGAGCCCTGCATTCAAAATGTTCATTTTGAAAATACAGAAATACAATTATTTAAAAAAAAATAATGATTATGAAAGCATTGAAGAAAAAAAACATAATAATTTAATATACCTTAATGTAATATAATATAACATAACATAACATTATTAAAAAACACATTTTAAATATAATGGTTTCATTATAAATATGGACTTTATCTCTAAGGTACTATATGACATTTCCCATTTGAATCTAACCATCATGTCAACAAATGGAACAGTCAGCCAGTTATTTATTATCATGTTAATTGTGCCTTTAGCCCCAACAGCAGGGGCTGTTTTTACCCCAAATTGCACATTTTTACATAATCTTCCATTATTGAAAAACACCCATGAAAAATCACCAAATCTATAGCTCATTCAAACACATAGATATTTTAATGCACTTTGGATTAAGCACATAAACCACGTTCAGTGTCTGAATTCAGTAAAGTTCTCTGCTGAAGGAATAGTTATTAGAAATTAATTAGAATTCAAAGGCAGAACTTTGACAAGCTATCTGCACTTTCCAGCCTGGGAGATTAAAAGGTGGAGAAATCTCAAAAGATGGAGATTTTATTATTTTTATTCTAATTAGGGAGAGAGTTATAAATATCTCTTGTGGACGAGAGGAGAAAAGGTGGGTGTTTATCAGTGAGGGATGACAAAAGTCAAAGAAAGACCGTAATCCTGAAGGTGTTTCATTTAGCAAATGTCCTTGAAATGGAAGCAGAAGTAGTTTTGAGGATTGATGATAATATTTTCCTATTATTGCACAAAGATAAAAAATGAGTATGTTGATTAAATCTTTAGCTTTTTCACCGCACAGAGGACTATATTTCTGTCAAATGCTTTAAATGTAACAGAATGACTTTAAGTTCACTTAGAAACCATTTGCCTGTTGGTTTTAGTTTAGTGATCAATTCAAAGACTCCAAAACTATGACATCTGAAATGTTATTTGGCACAAACACATTTGTTATTAGTAGTATCAGTTTCATTTACATTGCTTCAGTAATCATTTGCTAAAGTAAGTATCAGTATCACTATTACTGTTTCTCGTCAGTTAGTGTTTGAACACTGAGCATTACATTTCAGCATTGTACGATTAAACCCATGCAATTTGCCAGTCTGTCTGTCTCAGACTATAGAACACCCTAGCAACAGCACACAAACCACTCAGAACACCTTAGCAAATGCAAAGCAATGCCCTAACAACCACCCAAAACAGCTGCATGGCAATGCACAAATAAACACTCAGAGGACCCCAGCAACTGCATAGCAACATGTTGGCAAACAATGAGAACACCCTAGCAACTACATAGCAACACACTAGCAACTAACAGGAATCGCACCAGCAACTGTATGGCAACATGTTGACAGCCACTTAGAACACCTTACCAACTGCATAGCAACACATTAGCACCCCAGCGACTGCATAGCAGCATGCTGCCAAACACTCAAAACAGCCTAGCAACTGCAGAGCAACACACTCGCAACCATACCAGCAACTGTATAATAACATGTTGACAAACACTTAAAACATCCTAGCAACACAGTAGCAACCACCTGGCGACTGCATAGCAACAGGTTTTCAAACACTCAGAACACCATAGTATGCACATAGCAACACAGTAATTACCACCTGGAACCATACAAGCAACTACATAGCAACATATCAACCACCACTTAGAGCCATACCAGCAATTGTATAGCAACATGATAACAAACAACCAGAACACCCTGGAAAATGTGTATCAACACACTAGCAACCACCTGGAGCACCACAGCGACTGCATAGCAACATGTTGGCAAACACTTAGAACACCCTAGTAATGGCATAGCAACACAGTAGTGACCACCTGGGACACCCCAGCAACTGCATAGCAACATGTTGGCCAGGACTAAGAATACACTATCAACTGCAAAGGAACACACTGGAAAACATTCAGAACACCGCAACAACTGCATAGCAACATGTTAACTAACACTTAGAACACCCTAGCAACTGCATAGCAAAACACTAGAGACCAATTGTAACCATGCCGGTAACTGGATAGCAACATGTTGGAAAACATTCAGAACACCCTAGCTACAGCTTAGCAACATGTTGGCAAACACAAAAAAAACAAAAAAAAAACAAGCAACTCCATAGCAACACAGTAGCTACCACCTGGAACCATACAAACAACTGTATAGCAAAATGTTTGGTATACACTCGGAATACTGGCAACTACAGTACACTACATAGCGAGGGGTGTGAACCAGAAGGGCGTAAGTGACATTTTTGGTGAAATGGAGATATACATATATATCAAATGAAAGCTCTTAATGAGCTCTTTCTACTGGCAAAAGTACTGTCATCCATGAGTGTACACATTTTTATTATAAACAATTGAAATCAGTACACAAAGTCAAATCAAACTATGGTAAAATTTTTGTTTTGGCTCTCCTGTAAAGTTGGTGAAATGTCACTTACGCCTTTCTGGTTCTCACCCCTCGATAGAAACATATTTGAAAAACACAAAAACCCACTAACAACTGCAGAAACACAGAAGCAAATACCTGGAACACCATAAGGGCTCCATGGCAACATGTTGGCAAACACACAGAACACCCTAGCAACTGCATAGCAGCATGATGGCAAACATCCAGAACACCCTAGCAACTGCATAGCAACATGTTGGCAAACACCGTAGCAACTGCATAGCAAAACAATAGCAACCACAGCCCAGCAGCTGCATAGTAACGTGTTTGCAAACACTATAGACACCCTAGTAACCACATATCAACATTAAGAACAACCTAGCAATGACATAGCAACACACTAGCAACCACTTGGAATGCTCTAGCAACTGTAGGACAAGAGAACACTGTAGTAATCGCAAAGCAACACTCTGTCAACCTGTGAAGCAAGCTCCCCTCACACAGTCTCACACAGTTTTAATGTCTGTGTTTCTCTCTTCCCGAAGGCATATTTCAGGTCCTTCCCACCAACAACCTGCAGATCCTGAGAGTGAGTAAAGCTGATGAGGGTGTGTATCGCTGTGAGGCGCGTGTTGAGGCCAGAGGAGAAATCGATTTCAGGGATATTGTGGTGCTGGTGAACGGTAAGAGCTGTTCTTCACGTACTGTATGCACTTCCTCCCTGAGCTCTGAACAGCTCAATAACCGTACAGCGCTCGACTGGAGGAGTGTTTCAGCATCATACTGTAGCTTACCCACTCTAGTCACAGACTGACCAGTAAAAGTCCATATGAAATCAGAATTGATACTATTAATCCATGAAAGTTAATGCACCGAAAAATGTTGTTTGACTTGGTAATCTTTAAACAAAATCTGAAAATGTGCTTCTGCTCTGGAATGGCACTCCTTCTCTGATGACGTCAGTTTGACAGCTTAACCACTCCCCTCTAATGGTTAGTTTGCTATGAACGAGAGATGGCAGGGAGGTGCGCTAAAATAAAACTCCACCCTCTATTCAGTATTCAGTTTTAGTCGAAAATACGTCACAATACTGAAGTAAAGTAGATAGCAACTTAGGTTCATGTGGACTTTAATGTTTAACTATTTACCAGTACTTAATAATGTCTGTCACAGGGGCGTTTCCTCCGCGGAGGCAAGGGAGGGAGTGTCTCCTCTCCTCAAAACTGGATGAGAAAATAATCGATATTATAAAAATAAAACCGCGCAAATATGACTAAATATGATATTAAAAGTCTAAAAGTTACTCGTTTTTATAAAGTAACACTGTCCAACAGCGACACCCACAGGTAAAGTTACAGCGGAGGCTTGCCTCCCTTCGGTCCATAAACTTTCTACAGAGACCTCGTGCCGTGACTTTTCTGGAGGCTCATTGAGATGAATGGGGGAAAGTCACGTGAGAGGAGGAAATACCTCCATCGCACTATAATTGGATATGATCGGTTATGATTGGATGTGATTGGTTCGTGTGATAAATCCCGCCTCTTGTTTTTGTGCGAGCTCTCGGCCTGAATGAAGAAAATGATGGCGTTATTGACTAATTATAAAGTAAGTAAACAACTCTCCTGCTTAGATATCACTGCTTTATGTCACGTCAAAATGAAACATGAAATGGCTTGAAAACGTGATGACTGTCAGTTTTTAGTGAGCATTCAGCTTGATGAAATGAAAGATGTACGTTATCTTTGTGCCTGTGACAATGTTTGTGACAGGGCTTTTATGATGATGAACCGAAAAGTCGACTATTAAAAAGAACAGCTGAACATCAGTTCACAAATAAAAAACGGAGTGTCTACTTACAAGTGCAAATAGCCCGCCTTGTTGGCAGGGGTTTTACACTAAATCCACCCATCAACGTGTGATTACAAAGCATTACAGAAGACTGTCTTTCAATAACTGCTCTAGTGGCGCAGATGGTGAAGTATGTGTTAAGTCGTTTTTGACGATATCGACTGGGGTTCGAATCCGCTTTTTGCCTAACTATTTTTTCCTACCTTTTCAAATAAGATATCACTTTGGAAAGGCATGTATTGGAGTGTCTCCTCTCCTCAAAATTGGATGAGAAAATAATCGATATTACAAAAATAAAACAGTGCAAATATGACTAAATATGTCATATTTGACATTATATGATATTAAAAGTGTAAAAGTCACTCGTTTTTATAAAGTAACACTGTCCAACAGCGACACCCACAGGTAAAGTTACAGCGGAGGCTTGCCTCCCTTCGGTCCATAAACTTTCTACAGAGACCTCGTGCCGTGACTTTTCTGGAGGCTCATTGAGATGAATGGGGGAAAGTCACGTGAGAGGAGGAAATACCTCCATCGCACTATAATTGGATATGATCGGTTATGATTGGATGTGATTGGTTCGTGTGATAAATCCCGCCTCTTGTTTTTGTGCGAGCTCTCGGCCTGAATGAAGAAAATGATGGCGTTATTGACTAATTATAAAGTAAGTAAACAACTCTCCTGCTTAGATATCACTGCTTTATGTCACGTCAAAATGAAACATGAAATGGCTTGAAAACGTGATGACTGTCAGTTTTTAGTGAGCATTCAGCTTGATGAAATGAAAGATGTACGTTATCTTTGTGCCTGTGACAATGTTTGTGACAGGGCTTTTATGATGATGAACCGAAAAGTCGACTATTAAAAAGAACAGCTGAACATCAGTTCACAAATAAAAAACGGAGTGTCTACTTACAAGTGCAAATAGCCCGCCTTGTTGGCAGGGGTTTTACACTAAATCCACCCATCAACGTGTGATTACAAAGCATTACAGAAGACTGTCTTTCAATAACTGCTCTAGTGGCGCAGATGGTGAAGTATGTGTTAAGTCGTTTTTGACGATATCGACTGGGGTTCGAATCCGCTTTTTGCCTAACTATTTTTTCCTACCTTTTCAAATAAGATATCACTTTGGAAAGGCATGTATTTTCAATAATAATGAAGGAAATAATCTAAAAGTTGAACTTAAAATATTGGATAGGATTATGGTAGGTTTTGGGAAGGATTTATTGTCCCATAAGGTGACATAAATAATTAATCAATAATCAATCATTTGAATTAAAATGATAATTTACACTCAATATGTTATTAATGCATACTGTTTTATAATGTACTACAATACTGAGGTGCAGATAATTGCCACTATTTGCAATAAGTAGTATAAATAGCAGAAAATCCTGCTAACGTTAGGTGTAAATTCAACCTATAGCTATTTGCACTTGGTGTAAACATTAAGTGTAACAAGGACATGAATTATTTATATTTATATATATATATATATATAAAAATGCCTCCTTATTTTATAACACCT